TTTATCTTGGATCCTACTTCCCCAAGGCTGCAAATTCAAGCGGTAACTGAAGATAGGAGGAAGACTGCACATAGAAAGGCGTGCAGATTTGTTGCTTGTACAATGTTATCAACCCAAACCATACTGCTGGGTGTTGTGGGACGTTATCAGGCCAGTTAGTGGCTGCAAGGGACCATCTCAAAGGACTTGTGTGTTTTCACTATGCTGTCTCTGATTTCGTGGGACCATCTTTCAGCTTCTCGAGCAAACGGCTCTTCCTGACAGCTGACCAATCCTTTTCTTCCTCTAGCATCCCATCTGCTCTGTTGTGAACGGATAAATTTGGCTTCAGGTCTCAAAGTTGGTTATGAAAATGTCAGCTGCAGGATTTTTAGGCTGAGTATTTGTCATGCTAGCTTCCACACCAGTTTCCTAGTATTTCCACTTCATCCGCATGCTTCCCTTGCTGTGATATCTTTTCTTTTTTCAAAACTGTGGGTGCTAAAAGGTTGGGCATCATAATTCGATAGGCTATCATGGCTCTGTGCTAGTGTTGGGATTCATATTTGTTAACCTGTGACCAGGGAGATAATAAAACACTGTTTTAAGAACAAGTGTTTTCCTCCTAATATAGTCATTTCCAGAAAGACAGAAGACATGATTAGTGAAATGAGCTACATTTTTCGTTCCTGTGTTAAATTATTTGTAGAATTGGCTGAACTTTGAGGTTGCAAGCTTTCATCAGAAACTGGAGAAATTAAATTTTCCCCACAACTGAAGAAGGAAGATTTATCAAATTCTAGATTCAACAGCTCAAATATTCATCTTGTTTCATTTAAAGCCAGGTTTTAAGCTGCTGGCTTTAATTGTTCCATGATGACGTACCCTGAGGATCAAAGCCAAATGTGTTTTGGTAGCTTATGCTTTGATAGAACTCAGGGAAATGTGGGCTGAAAGGTCTGGTGGGGCTGTGGATGCTGGAGAAACCTTCCTTCCTGTGGATTTAAAAGAAGCAAGGTTTAACTGCTTTTTTCTGGAATTTTTGGGAAAAAAATTGGTTGGGTAGGAAACAGAAGTGGGACACGAAAATAAGGATAGATCCATAAATACTTAATGTGAACAGGCTTCAAAAATAATCTACTGTTACAAATTATGGAATAATTCTTTCTGTTAGCCTATGTTCCTTTCCTGTGCCCTGTCTGAGCAGTCTGTCATTCATAACACGGTAAATCTTTTTGATGCCTCTGTTCTCTTTGAAATTTGGAATCCAAAAATTCCTTGCTGAAGCACAACTCTCGCTGATCACTGATTAATTTTTAATTTATGAACTCTTCAATGTAGTTATTTGAGTTAGGGACCGGGGGTGTCAAGGTCTGATAATACATATGTGACTCTTAACATCCTTTGACAAATCCAGAGTGGTTTGCTTAAGAAATGTCCTTGGTCCACAGTTGAAGGAAATCGGATAGAGTAGTTGCGTTGGTTTCAGTGATTTGAGGTAGGGTGTAGCAGAAAGGAAAATCAAGAAGAAATGTTTAAAACGAGTAAATTCCAAGAATCTATTTTCAACTTCCTATTTGCATATTAAAAGATAATGGGTTTGGGGTTTTTTTGCATTAAAATGCAGGGGTTTAAAAAAATACTACTATTTCTTGGTTTGTCTGACAGCTGCTGAGTAGGAGGAAAGAGAAAGGAAGGAAGAGCCCGAGTCAGAGGAGGGTGTGTATAACTGTGAGAACCTTCAGGCAGGAAACGCAGGCTTCCTGTAGCGCTGCAGTGAGCATCTTCCTCGGCCGCTAGCAGAAGGCCGAGATGCCAGCCTGTTCAGGCAAAGTATTCATCCAGTGTATCGACACTTTCACCGTTTGCAGTGTTGGCCAAGTCCTTCTCAAACAGCATCGCAGAGCAGCTTCAGGCCTTTCTGCAGTGAGCTGGGAACTCAAAAGGTGTGATTTTAATTGAGGGGCAAAAAAATGTGCGAGAAGCTTGCCAGTGACTAGGAAGAATGTAAAATGCATAGGTCAATACATAGGTCTTTGCTTGAGATGCTGAAATTCCAACCCATCAGGTCAAAACTTCCTGACTTAATTCAGTTTAGCTAAAGCAGGACTTAGCTTTGCAGAACTGAAGGCCTTTCTCTGTCTGTGTTCCTCAGTAACATTCCCTGGCAGATACGTCAAATTTCCAAACAGAAATCAACAGTTTGCACTGCATTAATTTACGCTTGTATTGATTTCTACCCAATTCATTCCGTAAGTGCTCTAGGACTTGTGCATGGACAAAAGAATTTCAGAAGCGGCCAGGCTGCCGAGAACGGATGTGTAAAGACACGTTCATTTTCAAAGATCTGGAAATGCTCTTCTTTAGGATGATAAATATCTGCTGGATTGATAGGCCGTGATTTCACGCCTAAAATACTCCAATAAGGAGAATGAGGAAAAAGAGAATTTGCAGAACTGTGCAAATATTGTGCTGATCCTCAGGAGCCAGCAATTCAGTTCAGCCTGGGCTTGTCTGGCCCATGGCCTTCGTCTAATCTGAGCCTTAACTCCTAGCCTGCAGAACTGGGTCATTTTTTGTGATTTTAATGATGTTAGACACTTTGCCCTTGGGAAAATCGCTCACCAAATGAGGCACATGTCTGAGGAAGCGTCACAATTACAGCTTTAACCTGTACCGTTTCTGTGGTTTTACGGACAGGACAAGAGGCTAAATATATAACATCATATATGCTTGGCATGTTTTTAAAAACATCACATACATTCATTTATTGTTAATTGCTTTTAGCACAGTAAAATTGGGGTTCAAACACAAACATCCACTAACGGAGCAAGTCTGAAGTTCACTGGAGGCAAAAAAGGATTTCTGAGCTTACACTATAGATTTATTCATATCGCTGGGCTTATAAAGAAAGGCAAGACAGAATTACATCGGTCTGAACCCCTCACTTTTGTGGTAACAGCTTGAAAATCTTTAAATTCTTATTAGAAGATCATTCTAGCACTACGTTGAAACTCTGCAGCACTGCTTCTGAATGTTTCTGCTAAGTGTTCTATAAGGAGAGCAAATTATCTAATGAGGAATAAGATATTTAATTAGGCCATATGGCTTAATCGGAAGAAGTAGACAAGCTTTCAAGTGTTGTATTTCTTTTTGCACATCACTACATACTAAATAAACGTCAATTAAACTTCAGGGCACTGGCTGAAGTAAAAACACAAGAATTTTTTCCCCTGTGGTGTTCACTGTTTATGAAACAGCTGTAAACAGCTGAGGGACAGTCCAATGTACTGGAAAATCATGCAGCAAATAAATTGCAGTGCCCGTATCATTTCAGCTTGGTTTCTTTAGACAAAATTGTCGGTGTCAGCTGGCTTGGGTATTTGTGATCACTGCATTTTGCAGAGCCGTCAGTGGAAACTTTCATCAAACATTCGATAGTGTCTTCTGATTAATGTAGGCTCGCCAGCTTCCCACATGATAGGTTCTTCACAGGATGCAACAGTCTAAGGGAAACTGCCCCACGACTTTCAAGATAAATAGCCTAACCAAAACACTTATGAGACAGGTCTCTTCCAAGAACTAAGTTTTGGTCTTACCTTTCTGACATCTGACATTCTCCTTTCTTTTGTTAGTGCAATATTTGCTAAGTTATGTACCTTCAGAGAGAAAATAATTATATTTTCATTGTGTTGTAAGGTTGCTTAACGTTTTGAGTGCTAGGATGCACACTCGTAGCACACTTTGCTGAAATGCTGGTAACAGACATTGACAAAAAGTCTCACAGGACACCAGAAGGGACATCCTATTTATTCCAGGCTGGATAAGGACATCAACAAGTCAAAAATTCCATGGGAGGAAAACAAATGAAGTGGAAGACACTAGTGGGACTGGCAGAAGAAAGACATACCTTGGGAAAAATAAACCAGCAAAATACCAACATCTCAGATACATTATTTCAAATAACTTTCTGAGGCTCCTCTTCATACTGTGGCCTCTGTGGCAGAGAAAACTCAGGACTCACTGGAGTGGGATATAAAATTTATTTTCTGGGAGTGCAGCTGGGAGTGACGGGAACCTTGTTTCTGCACGCCTGGCTCTCCTGCTTCCCAGAAGGGCGTGCATCACTCCCAAGAGCCTGAGCCCGTCCTGCTGGTGCTGCTGCCCTCCCACTGCCCACAGCGATGCATGGTGATAACCAGCTGAAGGAGCCGACCCAGCAGAGAGCAATTCCCTATGGGTTTAGCCTCCCATCTTGCCCAGTTTGAGATGAGATGAGCAGCAGTGCAGAGGGAAAGGGGACAGAACTATAGCTGCCACAGCTCAGCTTGAACTGCTGTGGGAGCACAAGTTGGAGAAAGTAGGTCTCAGCCTGTGTAGAACTGGACCAGAGCGGATGTCAACCATTTATTTCCCTCATTCAGATCTTCTTAATGCTTCTGACCTATTTAATACCATATCCGCTCTGCTGCTCGTAGAAGATACACTAGATCTAAACGTATGAGTTATGTGTTGATGTGTCCAGTGTATTTTTCTCAGGATTATCAATCACTTGGCACGTCTTCTGTTGGCATTTAAACCTGGGCTAATGCATATATCATATTAATGGCCACAACAGAAGCGGGAAAATGAGTTTACTTCAAAAAATGCAATGCAGTGTGTCTCCTTTAATAAACGTCACAATAAAAAGCTTGTTGTGCAAGTGTGGCTTTGTATTTGGCTTGAGTGATCTAAAAGATGTCATTACTCAAGGGGGCAGTTCACCTCCTGTCCCTGATGATGTTCTCATCCCCTTCATTGCGTTACTCTTAATTGCTAAGACATTGTAAGGGAGACAGCGGGAATGAACGGATGGGGCAGCAAGAAAGCTCTGCTGTCTTTTGTGGTTGTAAATTCAGCCTTAATGATTTACTAGCTCTCTCACAGCAAGACAGAGTCAATAATGGGGATAAGCACATGTGATAGTCTTTAATTCTGTAAGTTCTATAAACAAACAAACAGGAATACTGAAAATATGGGAAATGTTCTTGTTCACAGATCACACCATCCAGTCTGTTTTCTGCTGCTGCTGCTGCTGCACAGTGCAAAAAAGGTATGTGAAATGCTTAAGATTTTCAGCAATTAGGATGATCAAAATGCCTAGACATAAAGGACTTCTTAAAATCCCTGTATTTTAAATAGAACTGCTAATTATGCAGAATTTTAAAGACACTCTACCTTGCATATCCTTAATATGAAGGAAAGCACATATATATATCCGTGCATGTTTTTATGTGAATATTTATAGGTATATATTCACAAAAATACTTCATGTTTTTAAAAATCAGAGCGATGAGAACAAAAACAAACCTGGACCCTGGTAGTGGCGTGGGGAGCCAGTACTCAGCCTCACAACCAGATGTTTCCTATGCGTCTTCTTGGAAGTGCAGGGTAAGTAAAGTTTTTGGCAGGTGAAAAGGGAATCGAGGTGATGTGCCATACTGATGTCTCAGGACCAGAACAAGCGGAGGAGTGACCAACTCTTGAGCATGTCAGCTGCTTCATTGTCCAAAAAATACAAAGTACAGGTATCCGAAGATTCACACTGATGTAAATACAGGGTTAAAGTGAGGTTTCCCAAGGTTGCTGTCATGGAAAAGGTGGTTCCTTCTCCCACTTTCAGATTTGGGTGATGGAGATGGGAAAGGTGGGACTGCCCTGTTGGGTAGATGCAAGCTCGCCTTGCTCAGCTGGCACGTGAAATTTCCACCTCAGTTTTACGAGACCTAAGTTGAATTAATCTGGGTTTTCAAAGCTTAACTAAATGCAAAGCTAGAACCTAACCTGATGCCAAAGAAAATGGTTATGTTTCTGCCAATTTGCTAAGAATGGCTGCAGTTTTACAAGTGACGAGGTGATGGTGTTTTACAAAGGGAAGTAATGACCACGATGAGTTCCTTTTAGTTCCTGAGACGGTGAGACAGTAGGGGAATTAAGCAAGAAATGGTAGGGAGAAAAGTCTAATTATGAAAGATACTTTTCTTCTCTAGCATACGAAGAAATTGCAGTCAAAGAACAAGCCATTACCTCCTCTACCTCCCGAAGCCTTGGAAGACTATTCAAAAAAACCCAGAGTTATTGCACTCTATGACTTTTTTGCCCGAGGACCATTGGATTTAACACTCAAGAAGTCAGAAGAATACATTATCCTCGAACAGTATGATCCTCACTGGTGGAAGGCAAGAGACCAACATGGGTAAGATGTTGGGCAT